ACCGGCAGTCGGACATCCCCTGAGGGGTCCAGATTGGAGAGGGTGCAGACTGGGATGAGGGGACCCCGCGCCCCCCCATGCACAGATTTTGTGCACAGGGCCTCTAGTCTCAATAAATAGGTAACACCTACTTTGAAGAAGTCTTCTAATTACTAGAAATAAAACCCCAAAGTACCTGCACATGACAAATGTTCTACAGGCTGGAGGAACCCTCCCTCGGCAATCCATGCCATTCTCTCCTGGTTCATATTAATCCTTTCTGCTGGGGTCAGAAGAGCTAGTTCTCCTTTTACATTAACCTATATTTCTTTTTCATTAATTCTTCCCTTAGTGTTTGTCACAAAGGTGACTCCTTGAAGCTGATATAACATCTTGACTCCAGAATGAACCCTGAGTCTTGACTCCCCCTGGCTTGTGGAATGTACAAGAGAGCTCTGGGCTAATTACCAATTCCCACTAGTTCTGCCTCCAGGGCAAGCTGCCCTCAATGTTATCCATGTCTTTCTTAACAGGCCCTGGATCCTGAGCCTCGCAGCACCTGGTCCCTTTGCTCCCCAAACATTCTTTTCCCACATGGAGGTTCCCTGCTCACTTGCCCGGGACAGAGCCTAAGCACTCTCTTTTCTCTTATGGGAAAGCACGACACATTCCCAGGAGCAGTTGGTTGCTATCTTGTTGGTATCCTCTCCTTCCTCTGCCCTCATATCCTGGCCTTCATCTGCCATTTGAGGCCACATAAGACACTGTAGGGAGTCGCCTTGTAGAGAGTCGCCTTGCCCCAAGTGTCTTCCCAGGAGACATACCTTACTATTTAAGATCTGGACGACCCTCTGCTGCAGTGTCTGGCCGGCCTTGGGCCTCACAAGGATATAAATGACTTTCAGGTCCGGGCTGGTGCGAAATAGCTTTTCCATCAAGACTTTCCCCAGGAAGCCTGTGGCCCCGGTGATGAGAATGGACTTGCCACCATAGAAAGCTGCAATCGAGGACATGATTCTTCCCTTTGTCTCTCACGGCTCCAGAAAGAGGTTCCTGAAAAGGAAGAGAAATAACAGAAGATTACATTCCTAGAAATTCTAAGATGCGGTTGTTTAAACTGTTTTTGGGGCTCTCAGAATTTTGAATGCAGAGAAAGGTTAGAGTGATAGCATCATGGCTCATCGACAACATGATTCATGGCAATCAATATTTATTCAGCTCACTGTACATGCCAGACTTTATGCTGGGAACTGTGGGCAAGAAATGAGTAAAACATGGTTCCTGCTCTCAAGGAATTGCTCACAGATGAATGCAGGGGACAGACACATAGAGATTGTTATGCAGTATATAGCATGGTAAGTGCTGAAACAAGGGGGACACAGTGGAGGGGTGCATAGCAGGACCTGGAAATTTCAGGAAGGCGATACCTGAGGTGAAACTTGAAGACAGAGAAGGGCTGTGGCAAACGTGTTCCAAGCCAAATAAAGAAAGAGAAAGAACAAAGGTCCAAGGTGTGGTGTAGCATGCTGTACGGGGGAAATAAAAGGAGTTCAGGATTGCAAAAATGTAAATAATAAGGCGAGGAGTGGCTCTATAACCTGTTAACCCAAAACTTAGAACAGCTATAAAACTTTTAGAATTATGATGTAATTATTATTTCATTGCAGTTTTTTTTTTAAATCCTCACCCAAGGATATGTTTTTCATTGATTCTAGAAGGAGAAACATTGCTGTGAGAGAGAAGCATCGGTCGGCTGCCTCTTGGACATGCCCAACTAGGAATCGAACCTGAAGCCTGGGTATGTATCCTGAACAGAAATCGAACTTTCGACCCTTTGGTGCATGGGGTGATGCTCTAACCACTTAGCAACACCGGCCAGGGCTCATTGCAGTTTATTTAGAGACATTACTGGAATATAACTTTCGGTTTCACTTGAGCTAACTGGCTCTGTCCTACCCAGTCATTTCTGAATTGTTATGTTCTCTTCCTTGAGCTGAAAATGGGTCGAGTGCCATCCTTTCCTTCATATGCTGCTCACAGGATTGAAACATTGCAACCGAGAAAGGGCGGAGAAGGTTGCACAGAGAGGCCACAGACCAGAGGCTGGTTAAGCCCTGAAATAGCACCGGTGCAGCCCAGCGCTCGGTAAGTCCACTGAAGGCCCTATTTCCACAGCCTGGGGAGAGGGTGGTGGGAGCCAGCTGCAGCACTTGGATGCTGGGACTCCTGACCGACAGTCCCCATGCGGTAGGAATGCAGCATGAAGTGCTTGTCTTTAAGCCCCAGCTAAAAGACTGTTGACTGGAAGCAGCGTCTGAGCTTTGAGTGAAGGCAGTGCTGGTTCTGGGGGAGCAGACTTCCTTTCCGTCCACTGGCTTTTCCGGCTACAGCAAATCCTCAGCTGTCTGCTTGGACGGGGTTGGTGTGGATCTTGCATAACACAGCTCCAGGGACTGGCCTTGGCATTGGGGTTATAAAGAAGAATATGCAACAAGTCCAAGAGTCCACACCCAGCCTCTTCAGCTTCGGTCAAGGTCACTCTGCCAGTAACTCCTCAGGAACAATGAATGACCTTTCATAGTTATAATGTACAGGTTATAATTTGTAGTCATGATTTATACTTTGAGGATCTTGCGGCTATGTTCTTAAGCAGAACTCTTTGCCTTTAGAAGATTCATTCATTCATGAAATTATGCAACAAATGGTTTGGGTACCTGCCATATTGTCACTCCAGCAGAGGAGGCCCCGGGATACAGAGATAAGCACATAAATAAACAAGATTACAAATGTAGACAAAACTGGGATGGATGACAGAAATCACACCCCATCATCAATACTATTCGCTTTAGGAAATCTGGATTTCAGATCTAACATCTGTTAGACGTACTGAGCTGCTATTTAAACCCCTTTTATTGAGGGTTGATGTGAGAAATATTATTTTGAAAAACACATTTGAAGGTCCCTTGTGCAAAACATCAATTAATGATATTTTTGTCATATTATATAACGTTATTCATATTACAAGCTATCCAACCATTTTCTCAAGAACTGAGCACTTTGGAAAAACAGACTCTTCTTGCCTGGCCTGCCTTGAAGCTCAGAAAAGTGAGGTCACGAGTTTAGATAACATCCTAGGTTAGGACACAGGTTCTAAGGGAGACTGCCCAAAATCAAATCCCCGTCTATCACTTATTAGCTGTGTGACCCCAGGCAAATTATTAATCTCTATGCTGCAATAAACTGGGGACAACAAAAGTATCCACTTAATAGTGCTGTGGTGATAATTCTATGAGTGAACACATGTAAAACTCTTAAAAATATGTTACATAGAGTATATTAAGTATATACTATTATTATCAGCTATCAATACAGTCACTAGTTCCACATTTTTCCTCTTAATTGTTCTTGCTTTTCCTTTTGACATTTGCTTTAAATGTTCTGTCTGAAGCATTTTTTATACCCTCTTTTGGAAATAGGAGGAGACAATTGGTAACTCAATTAATTGTCAAGCCAAATATGGTGTTATCACCAAACACAACTCCACTAGATGATGAATCTTGCCAATTCTTTTCTATATGAAAATGTTTTGGCACCATACTCCTCCACTCTAATATTTGGCACAAGTGAGCATGGCTCAAGGCAGAAAAATTAAGGAAGGGAAACCGAGTTTAGATAGAGTGACTTCCCAACCTTATTTCTTCTGATAATATCATTGTTTTGTAATCTCATATGCTTTAGTGGAGTCATATTTTCTAGAAATGCAAATATTCTGTTAAGACATTTTGCTTCCAGACATAGTTTTGCAACCTGTGATGAAGAATTTTAGAGAGGAGGAAACATACCTCTCCCAAGCTTATTTCTCATGAGACAAAGGAAGGCTTGATATGTCCTCAAAGAATGGAATTTGCCTGCTCTGTCCACAGCCCAAATACTTCTCAAACACAACAGAAACCATAGCAGGGTACAGTGAGTGCCCCGAGAGGAAAACAAAACATACACCAGTGTTTCCCAGCACTGATCGCCCGGTCGTCAAGACCAGGTGACCACGGTGACCGTGACTCCAATCAAGGCAACCGATTCTGAAAAATGTCAAAGAGAATGTCCATCCTCAGCTCAAAGCTGCTTCAGGGATGTTTCCTCTGTTTCTTGCTTCTACTCTCAGACTATGGCTTGGTTGCTGGCCCCAGAAACTCCTATATAAAAATTGGCTCCCTGAAACTTTTTCCATATGGCATAGCTTTGCAAGGTCCAGGAACTGTTAACTCCTAATGTAATTAGTTCATTAAAAGACTTACTTTAAACATTAAAATAATTTTAGAGTCATTTGTGGAGGATATGCCACTCTAGAAGGAGAAATATGTTTCAAACTGCTGACCAGGCCAGGGCTTGCCTTTTTGTTGTTGTTGTTGTTGTTTTTG